CATCTTAGGAGCCCTCCGGACCCCCGCCAACTGTACCGTGCGATGACTCGAGTGCACGCAAGCAAGCGAGGGAGTTAGGAAGGGGCGTCTTCTCCCGGTGGCTTCCCGCGCGACGCGCCGTTATGACGTAGCGCGGGCGGGCTGGTGGCTGGGCCCGGAGCTGGGTGGAAACTGGATGAGGCTGGTGGCGGCCAGAATGGGAGTGGTGATGATGATAAATGTGAGGATTTTCTTGAGTTCATATTCACTAAGGTGGTACACAGGAAGCACTCACCAAACGTTAGCTATTAATATCCTGCCGCGAAAACGGATGGCGGAGCGGAAGGGTTCTTAGTAGGGGCAAGGAATTGTGATGATAGCAAGTATTGTGTGACAGGCATTGAGTAAGCCACAATTCTATGAGGTAGTTCTCATTATTAAGGCTGCTTTGCAGATAAGGAAACTGAGGTTACGCGACTTAGCCATGTGACCTTGGGCAAGTTACTGAACATTTCTGTGCTTCAGTTTCCTCATCTGGAAAACTGTGATAATAGTGCCGAGGGCCAGAATGGACCTCGGGAAGAGAGGTTTTTTTGGGCCGAAGCTCTCCTTCTCGGCCTCCTCCACCGAAAAACCTCTGCTCCCAAGCTGTAATAGAAAGTGTGTGCCTGGAGGATTAACCCCACGCGCGTCCCCCAACTCCCTCCCACCCCGTGTCTAAATGTCTAAGTATCAGCCCCACAGGAGGCTGGTTTGTCCTCCTAATCTCCCTCTCTCATTCTTCACCATTTCCTACCGGGCTGTAGGCTGGGGCGGGAGAGATAAGCGGTCTGGGGTTCAGCATCGCTGACTAACCAACAGATTGACAGCCCTGCCACCCAGTAGCTGGGCCTGCTGACCCTATTGCAAACCCCAGTTCCAGCCTTTTCTTCCCTTCCACTCTTTTCCTACCTGAACATGTCTTTTGTCCCAGTGGAAGAGGGTCACAACCTTTAAACGTTTACATACACCAAAAAAGTACATGTACAATGATAAACACTGAGGAACATTCTGAGGTTGTGATGCTAGCAGAGTGAAAGAGTAGGGGAGTCTTATAAGGGCCAAGGCCCATTTTTTCTGTATAGTCAGAAGAGAGGTTCCTATAGAGCAGAGGTGGGCAAACTTTTTCTATGAAGGGCCAGATAGTAAATATTTTAGGCTTTGCAGGCCACATCTGGCCTCTGGCATTTTCTTTCTTTCCTTCCTTTTTCTTTTCCTTTCTTTTGTTTGCCATTCTTTTCCTTCTTCCTTCCCTTCCCTCCGCTCCCTCCCCTTCTTTCCCTTCCCTTCCCTTTCTTTTCTTTCTTTCTCTTTAAAAAAGTAAAAACAGGCTACAGTTTGGCTTTTGGCTTGAAGGCCATAGTTTGCTGATCCCCACTGTAGAGCGTCAGTCTTTGATTTCCTTTCTCTGGCTGGGATTCTTTTGCAGGATGAGTGCAGAGGTTCCATGCTTCCTGGGGAGAGGTATTCCTCTTGTGTGAGATGTGAGGACAGGGATTCATGGACAAGCTCGAGTCATTTCTGGTGTTCTACTGGATCAAACAAATGTTCCTGGATGGAGTGAGGTTATGTGTTGTTCCTCTACTGAACCAAGCAGGGGTTACTATACAGGACGAAGCAGTTGTTTCTACGGAGCTCCAGACTAGGGATTCCCATCCAAGTTCAGGATGGGGCTCCTTAGACTGCATTATGACAGGTTCCTATATAGAGATCAGGTAGCCCAATTTGGGGTCGGCACAGGTGTTTCTGTACAGGTTCAGAGCTGTGCTCATATAGACATAAGATCAGCTGTTCATGTCCAGGTTCAGTCAAGAGATTGTTACTAACTGGGCTAAATTATGCTAGGTGCTGTAAAAGCCAGAATCTCAGAGGCTTCACAAACACATGTTTATTTCTAACTCATGTGAAATCCAATATGAATATTACTGGTTATTCATGGACCCAGACAACTTCCATTTTGCACCTCTGCTCTCCTCTGAACGCTTGGAGTTCACACTATTCATCTGGTAGATGGGGAAAGAGTATCATGGAGAACTGTTTGAGAGACTTTTATGGGCCAGGCCTGGAAGTGTATGTTACTCTGCCCATACTCTATTGGTCAGAAGTCTGGCACATGTCCATATCTAACTGTAAGGGAGGTTGGAAAAGTAAATGAGCTCAGGAAGAAAGGGAACAGGATTGAAGAGCCTATAATTGTGCATGCTACAGGATTTTATAGACTGCAGAACTATGCTGTCCAGTGCAGTAGCCACTAGCCACACGGGGCTACTGGGCTCTTGAAATGTAGCCAGTCCAACTTGAGATGTAAGTGTAGAATTCACACTGGATTTCAAAAAAATTGGTATGAAAAAATATCTCCATAACTTTCATATTGATTATGTATTGAAATGAAATATAGTTGACCCTTGAACAAAACGGGTTTGAGCTGAGTCCACTTACGTGCAGTTTATTTTTTCAATAAATACTACAGTACTGCACTGTGAGGTTGGTTGACTCCATGGATGTTAAACTGCAGATATGGAGGAACCAAGAATACAGAAGGCTGACTGTAAATTATACATGGGTTTTCAACTGCACGTGGGTGTCAGTGCCCCTAACCCCTGCATTATTTAAGGGTCAACTATTTAAATATATTGGGTAAAGTAAAGTGTATTATCAAAATTAATTTTACCTATTTTTCCTCTTTTCAATGCAGCTACATGAAAAATTTAAATTACACATGTGGCTCGAATTGTATTTCTATTGGATAGCACTGCTGTAAGAGAATTCCCTTTAAAAGTATTGGGACAAGGGGGAAGGGGATAGCTCAAGTGGTAGAGTGCATGCTCAGCAACCAAGAGGTCAGGGGTTCAATCCCCAGTACCACATCTAAGTGGAAATCAGTGAAGAAACCTAATTACCTCCCCCTCATAAAGTATTGGGACAAGAGTTCTCGTGTAGGTGTAAGTAGGGCTTTCTCTTTAGGGCCAAGTTATTGTTTCTTGTCCGAGGTCAGGAGAATGATTCTATTTCCTGGTAAGGCAGGTTTGTAGAAAAATATGAGGAGTGGAGACATTGTACAGTGAGAGGGAAGAATGTGAAGGCATTTTTTTGTTGTTGCTGTGCAGATGAAGATTAGCTGCTCCTTTAGAGGCCAGGAGGGTGGTTTTCTGTAGAGGGTCAGGCCAGCGGATCACAGCATACTCAGGCCAAGTATTTCTATATGAGATCAGAGTTAGGCTCCTGGGGACAGACAAATCAGGTGACCCTGTTGGGGTTAGACTAGGGGTTCTTGTACAGGCGGGACAGGTGATCATGGTGATTCAGATTGTAGATTGTTTACCAAGGTCAGAGCAGAGGTTCCTATACAGTACAGGTGATTTTTATACTGGTTTGTTTCTTGGATGTCTCTCAAGAGCCAAAGGTTCCCGTTGAGTGTGAGGGTGGGATTTTCTGTACCAGCTCAGGACCCAAGTTCCTGCTGGCACTCAGAAGGAGGGGGGTCCTGTGCAGTGTCAGGACAAAGATCCCGTGCAGAGGTCGGACACTGTTACCTCCAGAGATTCAGGTTAGTATTTCTTCTATTGGGTCAGAACAGGGCTACTATACAGGGCGAGGGTGGGGCTTCCGGGCCAAAGCCAGAGCAGGGGCTGTGGTAGAGAGTCATATCAGGGCTTCCTGTGCAGGGTCAGGAGAGTGTTTCCAGAGGGGAAGGTTAGGAGTTCCTATAAAGGATCAGGTCGGAGATTCATATGAATGAGTCAGGTTAGGATTTCTGTTGAAAGTAAGGAAAAGGTTTTCTGCAGAGTCTGGTCAGAAGTTCCAATACAGCTGTAGGCAAGGCTTCCTGTAGAGGGTCAGGGCCATGGAGCTAGGGTAGGGTGAGGACAGAAATCCCTGTACAGTGTCTGGGAAGGGGGTCCTGTGCCAGGTGAGGCCATAGATGCCTGTATAGGATGAGATATGGACTTAAGTAAGGACCAGGACAGGCGTCTCTGACACAGCATCAGGAAAGGGCTTTCTGTGTAAGTTCAAGTTCATGTTGAGAGTTAGATCATGGGTTCCTGTGGACTCTTCGGGGTGGGTTGTGAGATCAGGATTATTGTGCAGAGTGATGTCGGGAGTTGTCATCTGTGGGGGGGCAAAGGGTTCTATACTTAGGGTTCCTGAAGAGGTTGAGGAAGAGGATTTCTACAGAGAGCCAGGCCGGTGGTTCAGAACCAGATTTTATTGTGAGTTAAATATTTAAAAAATGCTACCTGGAGGGCAGGGCTCCAGTACAGTGTGAGGACAGAGGTGTCCTGTCCAAGGTCAAGACAGGATTCCTATAAAGAGACTGAGGCTTTGGACAAGGATCAGGACAGGCAATATCTTGGGGGCAGTGCAGGGGCGTCCTTACAGTGGGAGTCCAGGGATTCCTATCAGGAGTAAGGCAGAGGTTCCTCCTGGGCAAGGGGAGGGCTGGTGACCCTGTCCAGGCTCAGGATGGGTTTCTTATTGATAATTAGAGAAAGGGCTCCCTCAGGTTCCAGAACTAGTTTCCTGTACCAGGCTAGGGCAGCTGTTCTAGGGGGTGAGGCCTGGCGTTCCTGAACAAGGTGGGATCAGGCACATTTCCACACAGGTTCTGAGAGGGGTTTCTGTTCCAGACGAGGACAGGGGCTCCTACAGGGTGAGAGGGCTTGGCTTCTGGGGTGGGGGCAGCTAGGCAGGAGGCTTTTACAGGGCCAGAGCTGTTCTGGACCATCCCTGTGATGAGGGTAGACTGCTGTGTTTCTTGAGTGGGCTAGTGTGATGACTTGCTGAAGGGGTGCTGTTCTATTGAGGACAGCTGCTCACCCCTGCTGTGTTCAGGGTGTGCGGGCCCCCAATCCCATGTCTGGGGCTCCAGGGAAGAAACTGTAAAGAGAAGGAGCCCATTAAGTGTGAGCAGGACTCTTTGGCGGTAGTGGGGGGTTGCCCGTCTAAAATCCACTCCTTACACTTAGTGTGCTCAGGGCAAATTATTCAGCACTTCTGAGCCTTGGGTTTTCATTAGTAAAATGAGGATGAGTATACTTTCCTCAGTGTCTTTTTTTTTCCCAGATATTCACGAACTCAAGCAACTGAAGCCCCTCAGCCATTGCTGACCCATAGTGGGCACGCAGTGAAAAGTGCTGCTTGCTGTTAGGAGTCACTGGGTAGCTCGGAGCCTAAGCCATGGAGCCTGTCTAGCCCCGGGCCACCAGCTGTGTCACCTCAGGAGACCTACTTATCCTGTCTGGCTTAGGACGTCCCCCAACTCAGCGCACACACACTCCCCTGAAAGGCTTTGTTAAATGGAGGAACAGATGCCACTTTTGGGGGAACACTTTACACAGGTGAGTAGGTGTCTTAGGGAGGGAGACGGCACATTGAGGGGCTTCCTGACCTGTGAAGTCTATCACCCCCAGAGGTTATTTTGTCCTCTTAGTCTCCTATTCTCATTCTCTACTATTCCCCATAGGGCTGCAGGCCGAGCTGGGCCGAGAGAGATAAGAGATGAGTGACAGAAAGGTCCATGGACAACCTCATGGTCCCACACTGGCCTTCTGACCTTCTTGATGGCCACCATTCCCGCCCCACCCCTTTCTCCCCTTCCTGTCCTGAACATGTCTTTTGTCCCTTGGGAGAGCATCCCCAGCTTACACAAACTGAAACTGTACACGTTGATGCTTGCATAAGTAAGTGTACACAGGGCTGCTCACATCGTCAGTGACTCGGAGATACTGACATGGCACACACCACATGATAAATTCACACACACACAGACTTGCCCAGAGGTATTGTTACCATCCCCTTGAAGACGTCATGACGCGTAGCCGCTCAGGGTCCCACTGTTACGCCTCACTCACCGTCATACACACATCTTGTTCAGCGTTCCAGAAATGTTTACAGATCAGCTTCTGTGCTGTGGTGCTGTCTCAAAGATCACCCCGAGTGGTGCACAATCACACGGACCCAACCCCACACGTCTCCTTGGCACACGCTGTCACCTGCACATTCCCACCTCCGCTCACACAGTCACGCACACCGTCTCATACAGCCTCATCCCCACCACACGTCACACACCATCTCTCCCCGTGACATGGGGACACACGTGCTGTCTCATGCAACCTGGATGCTGTCACATGCAATTTCACATATACTGTCCCAATCATCACACATAGTAACTAGCACACAACCATGAATCATTCCATGTGCCATCTCAAGTGGTCACACATTGCAGCCACACACTGTCATCGAAGAATCACAGACACTAATACGCCCCCGCCCCCATCTTTATTCAGTCCCACACAGACTCACACCTCCAATTTTAGGACTTTGGTGGTTTTATTTTACAAAAGCCTTGAAGATCCAGGCCAGGGGTTGTCTGGGGCCCAGAGGGTTGGGTTGGGTTTTACAGACTGCTGGCTACAAGAGGAAGAGGGACACCAGCCCTGCCCCAAGGCCACGCTCTGTGCCCTCAGGAGCTGAGTGGGGCCACCACTGTGGTGGTGGTGGTGGGAGGCACAGGGCCTGTGGGGAAGGAGCCTGTAGGTGAGCCCAACAGGGGTCCTGGGAAAGGCATGAGGTGGCTAACAGGCCCTGACAGCACCACAGGGCCCAGGCCTTGGTAGAGATGGGCAGTACCAGGGGGGCCCAATGTTAGGCCTGAGGCCACCTCCCCGCAATTCCCACTACTGCTGCCCCCAGCTACCACCATGAAGCCACCAGCTGGTCCTTCAGCTGCTCCTGTACCTCCCAGACTCGACCCCCGTTTCTTTTTCCCTTTTCCAGATGCCTTGCGGTTTCGAGTTTGAATACCATCCTTCCGCATGGTCAGTGGTCGGTTCACCTGCCAAAAAGGAGGCCATGGGTGTTTCCCAACTCCACATCTTTGCTGTATCTCCACTGGGGATGTTCTCTCCACCCTACTTCTTAAGACCAGGGAATTCAGTTCAAGGACTAGAGGAGTGCGCCCCTGGTGTGGCACAGGTATTGCCCTCAAGAATCCTGAGACTGTGAGGCTCTGAGCTTGGGGAGACCTCTGAGGCTGATGGGAGCTGCCCCCGGTCTAGGGGAGAGTGGGAGTTAGGTGATGGCCAGAAGGGAGGAGGGAGTAGAAGGGACAAAGGAGATGAAGGAGTGGAGGAGGGAGGGTGGAGATGGTGGAGGGTGGATGGAGGAAGATGGAGGGAAGAGAAGGAAGGAGTAGGAAGGGAAGTGGGAGGAGAGGAAGGAGGCTTGGAGGGGCCTCACCTGGTGTAGCTTGTAGTAGAGGCCGCAAGCATTGCACACAGGATCCCCGCTGGCGTTTCTCCGCCACAGTGTGGTGGTGGTTGTCTGGCAGTTGGTGCACTGGGTACCTGCCCGTTTGCTGACAATCTGGGGGAGAGAGAATGTGAGGATCAGTGCACTGAGGGGTGGAGGACCCAAGAGGTGAAGGTCAGGTTGAAGGCAGAGCTTCCTACAGGGTAGGGGCTGCAGGTTCTGTGTGGGTGAGGACAGGGTAGGGGTTTGGGGTATTGTGCGTGAGACTGCACCAGTAGTGCCCAACTTTGGCCGTCTAGTGGAATCACTTGGGGAGTTAGAAACAGTCTTGATGCCCAGGCAGCACCCCAGACCAATTAAAAGAGCACATCTAGGGGAGGACCTCAGACCCAGTGGTTTTAAAATGCCCCAAGGCGATCCCAGGGTGAAGCCGAGGATGAAAACTGTGGTGCAGGGGGAGGATGGGATTCCTGCTTGCAGCCTGTGAGAATAGGCGGTCCTGCACAGAGCTGGGTTCCAGGTGAATGGGGAAGGGGTCGGGGATGTGGGTTCCTGTAGAGCCTGAGGACGGAGATCCCTGCGCAGGGTGAGAACAGCAGGGGCGGCAGGCCTGGGTCTTACCAGGCGCTTCTTGGGCCGGATGAGGGGTCTGTTCTGCCCGTTCATCTTGTGATAGAGGCCACAGGCATTGCACAGGTAGTGGCCCGTCCTGTCCCGCCGCCACAGCGGAGTGGCCGTTGCTCCGCAGTTCACACACTCTCTGGCCTCTGTTGGGATGGACAGAGGGGAAGAGGGTGCCAGGCTCAGCCCAAATTTCCCTTGGATTCCCCCCACCTCACCTTCCCCCTCCCAGTCCCTTTTTGAGAACCTCACCACAGGGGGTTAGGGGCAGAGTTCCACGAAGCTTGGGGGAAGAATAGGCTGCTGGATTGAGGGGACTCCCAGTGGGAGAAAAGAAGGTACTGGAAAAGTCAGGGCCCCCATAAGCACTGCTGGGGGCGGGGATTGATGAAGGCAGTGCAGGCCCCAGTGTCAGTAGATCTGGACTCAGCCGCTCTGTCTTTAAGGTCTCCAGGAAGCTGCTGCTGCCGCCTTTCCCGTCCAGATCTTCTGGGGCCTGGGATGGGGAGTCCTCACGGGTAGGGCACACAGTCGAGGCGGGGTAGAGCCCGGTCTTGCCATAGGCCCAGCCAGCATATGGTGAGCCCCCTGGGATCCCCTCCATACAGTTGAGCAATGGGTACACCTGAAAGACTGTTGGGAAGGGGTGAGTATGGGAAGGAAGGAGGAAAGAAGAGGAGCGATCAGTCTAAAGTCATCCTGCTTTCAGTCTAATGCTTCCCCAACAGCCCCAACATGGCAGTCAAGTTTCCAACCTTTCCACAGGTGACCAGAACAGCTGCTGGCCATTGGGTGATCCCTGGGTCCTGAGCCCCTCTGGTCACTCTGGCAACTGCAGTAACCTCTAACCTTTGAGGGTAGCTTGTTGGAATTTGGAGCCCCATAGATCACTTGGCAACTCAGGCCACCACCTACTTCCAACATTGCTTCCCAGTATGGCTACCCCAAGATGACAGGTTAGGAGCACTGGCATTCCCAGGTCTGGACTCCACTAGGGGAAGTGGTCAGCACAGCCATGTGAAGGGTGACCTTCTGGCCATTTTCAGGGTGACCTTCTACTAGGATTCTGCCCTAGCTGAGGGCCTCCATGGCAAACCCAACAGTACGGAGCCAGTGCCAAGACAGCCACCCAAAGAAGTTACCTGGGGAGTGTCTATAGGCCTCAGCATCCCTGTAGTAGGCCAGTGCGGCAGCTGCAGCTGTGGCGGTGCTGGGGGCGGTAGAGGAGGCTGCTGTGTCCAAGCCCTCAGGCCCAGAGGGGAAGAAGACCCCTGATTCTGGTGGCGAGGACACCAAGGCCGGGTCCATAAACTGGGACAGGGGCTCAGAGGTCCCCAGGGCCCCCAGGCCAGGGAACTCCATGGGGCCTCTGGGGTTTGGCCTGTGAAGACAGGAGGGGTCCTCAGACAGAGAAACCCTCCTCTCCCCTCTCCACTCCTCTTCCCTCTCCACCCCTCTTCCCTCCTTTCTCCCTCCTCCCACTCCATCCCCTCAATTCTCATATTCCCCCTTTCCACCTCCCTAGTACCCTCCTCTTCCCCTCTCTCCTCCCTTATCTTCCACTCCATCCTCTCCCCATCATCCCTCTTTCCCCTTCTTTCCCGGTTATCTTTCCTCTCCTCGTCTCCCTCCTCTGCACCCTCTACTTCCTCCCTCTCATTCCCTCTCCTCTTCCTCCTCTTCCCTCTCTTCTCCTCTCCCTCCTCCCTCTCATTCCCTCTCCTCTTCCTCCTCTTCCCTCTCTTCTCCTCTCCCTCCTCCCATCTCTTCTTCCTCCCTCCTCTCAACTACCTTTCCTTCTCATCTCCCTCCTCTTCCTTCTCTTTCCATCCCTCCTTCTCTCCCTCCTTCCTCTTCTTCCCTTCCTCCTCTTCCTTCCCCATTTCTCTTTTTCTCTCAGGTCCCTCTTCTCTTCTCTCCCTCCATCTCTTCCTTCTCCCCCCCCTTTTTCTCAGCCACCTCCCCGCTTCCCCTTTCTCCATCTCCTCCACTCCTCTTTCCTCCTCCCCCTCTTCCCAACCCTCCAGCCCCTCCCCCCTTGTCTTCATCCTTCTCCTCTCCTTCCCTTTCTGCTCATCTTTCTCCCTCTCCGCATTTTCCTCTCCTCCACTTCCTCTTCTTCCTCTGCCCCCGCCCTCCCTCCCCACCCCTTCTTGAAGAGTCTAGGTGGGGTGCGCTGGGGTGCAGAACCAAAGTCCCTTGAACTCCTTGGTCACCTCCCAGACCTTGGGGTTCACCCTCCTGTGCTCCCCAACTTCATCCCTATCTGTTGCATCTTGCCTTCTGACTTTCTCAGAAACCCCATGGTTTCCGGCTTGACTCTCCCCTCCCCCACCTCCGTTGGGTCTGCAGACAGAGGGCCCCCTCAGTTCCTCCCTGCTCCATGGGGGGGTCAGTACCCCCCTGCTTATCTCTGCCATCCCCGCCCAACTTTTGAAATCACCCCAAGGCCACTGGCTTCCTCTGAGGAGGGGGACAGGTGGGAGGTGTTCCCTCTACCCATACCCTGTCCACTGGGGCTGTCTGCCATAGTTCTGCTTTCAATTTCCTTTAGTCCCCACCATCCTCAGGCCTCAGTTTCCCCATCTGCCAGATAAGAGGCAGCGAAAGGGGTCGAGCTAAGACCTATGAGATAGTAGCTGGGTCTCTCTGCCCCTTTTGCTTCTGTCCTTCCCTGTACGTATCTCTGCCTCCCTGTGTGTATCTCTGCCTCCCTGTGTCTCTTTCTCCCTGACGCTGTTTCTTCTCAAGTCTCACTTTCTGCGTTTCCCGCCCATGTTTCTATGCACCATGATATATCTTGCTTCTTTCTCTGTGCTTTTATAAACACCTAATGTTTTTTCCTCTCCCTTTTTCTGTTGTCCCATGTCTCTATCTGCCTGATTGTCTCTCTCCATCTTTTTATCTCTTTTTGTTTGTCTCTGTGTCTCTTTCTGTTTCTCTTCTCTCTCTCTCTCCACTGATCTCTCTCTGAACGTCTGTACATCTCTCCTCCCTCTGTCTCTTTCTGCTTGTTTGTCTCTTCCCTCCTCTCTCTCTGGGCTCTCTGGCCTTACTTCCATGTCTGTCTGACTATCCCCATATCCCTGACCATATCCTTCCATGTACAGCCCAGGATGAGGAGTCAAGAACCCTTCCCCTGCCCCTGACTTGCCCTGTTAATCTGAAAACCTCAGTCTGTCTGTTGGGTGAAGTGACAGAGACAGAGGAGAGGACCATTTTGCCTGCCTATGTGTCCCATTGTGTAGACAAGCTGAGAGTGGGGCCTGGGGTTAGGGGTTGTGCAGGGAAGAGATGGGCCTGTCAGCGTGCCTGCCACCAACCTCCTCGAGGCCGAGAGACAGTCCCTGCTGTCTCTCCCTGGTGAGAGTGTCTTGCCTCCTCTTCTCAGACTCCATCTCTTTTCCTCTCTGTTTCACCATGATTTTCTCTATCTGTGAGTTTCTTTCTCTGCGTTCCTGTCTCACTCTCCTCTTCTGTTCCTGGGTCACCCCTCTTTCCTGCTGGCTCTTTAGCTCTCTTACTCTTTCTCTGTTTGTCCTCTCTCTCACATCTCTGTCTTTGCTCTTTTTCTCTCCATCTCTTTCTTTGTTTTCCCCTCACCTATCTCCCTGTTTGTCTCTTGCTCTTTTTGTCTCTGTCACCACTGTTCCTTTATCCCCTCATCCTCACCTCGCCACCCCCACCATCTCCCTCCAGTGCCATTGCCCCCCTCGTCCCTGCACCTTACACCTTGGCAGGTCCAGGACTGCCCACCCCTCCCATGGCAGGGGCCCAACCCCCCACCCCCAGTTATCACTCTCCGGACAGAGATAAAGTTTATCTCAAGGCTGGGGGATATGAAAGCTCCTTATCAGCTGCCCCACTAGAGTAAGTGCTGCCCCAACGGGCGGCAGGCAGCAGGCCGGCACCCTCAACTCTCCCTCGGCCCAGCCCCTCACCCCAGGTAACGTCCCTACCCCAGCCCCCAAGGGAGGGTCCCTTGGGACTGAGGGGAGCAGAGGTTGGATCTGGGGGCAGATGAGTCTTGGGAGAGTTTGAGGTGGAGTTTGAGGGTCAGATATGAGTTTGAGGAGTCAGAGGTTTGGGGAATAGCTATGGAGTTGGAGGAAGCAGATTTGAGAAAGCCTTGAAAGGTCACATTTTTGGATCAGAAATAGGTTGGGAAAGCAGAGACAGGGTTGGGGATCAGAGGCCAAGTTTGAAAGCAAGAAAGTTGAGAAGTTGGAGATACAGTTCAGGGGTCAGAGATGGATTCTGAAGATCATGGAAAAGTCTGAAGGTCCAAGGATTTTGCTGGACCAAGAGGGAGTTTGGACAGGCAGAAACATGTCTGATGATTAGAGATGGGTTATGGGAGCACAGGAGAAGTTTGAGAACTGAGATAGAATTAGGGTAGAGAAAGATTGCGGGGCAGAAAGGAGATCTGGAGGGGCAGAGAAATATTTTGGGGCTGAGATAGGGTTTAGGGAAAGCAGACATGAGGATTTATTTAACAGGACAGATTTGGATGGGTAGACCTGGTGTTTGGAGTGACAAAGACATTTCAATGCACAGACAAAGGGTTAGGGGAGAGAAATGGTTTTGAGAGGTCAGAGAAGTCACAGGGAACAAATACGGGGTTTGAGAGGCAGAGATGGGGGTAAGAGCATGTGTGGAGGTAGTGTTTGGCAGGCCAGAAGCAGTCTTGGGACGTCCTAGAGAGAACCTTGGGCCAAGACAAGGATGTTGTGGAGTAGACAAGGGCTTGGGAAGCAAAAATAGGTGTGGGGGATCAAAAGTAAGCTTTAGGGGAGAATTCAGAGACAGAGACTAGTTTGGGTGAGTAAAAATCAGATTTGGGGCAGAGGTAGGATTTAGGGGGATGAAGGCATGGTTTAGGAGCAGGGATAGGGTCTGGTGAGTAGAATAAAGGGATCAGAGAGACATAGCTATCTTGGAAGGAGTGGATGGGAGTTGGGGCAGGGAGAGGTGGGGTTTGGAGAGTATTTTGGGGTAGAGATTGGGGTTGGAAAGACAGAGGTGGTCTGGAGGAGCTGTCAGGGGATTCAGGGGTGGTAGACATTTTGGAGACCAGTGGTGGGTTGGAGAGCCTAGAGCAGGCTGGGGGAGTAGCCTTGAAGTAAGGGGCAGCAGGCCCGGGGTTTGCCTTGCCGGGGGCTCTTGAGGGGCTGAGACTAACCTGGGCTGGTTGGTGCGGAGGGTTCAGCTGCTTTGGGGATGTGGCGAGCTCAGTGTGATCCCAGGGGGTGTCCTGGCTGGCCTTGGCCTTTGAGGCTCCCTTCCTCCTTCCCTCCCTCCCTCCCTCCCCTCTCCCTCCTCCCTCCTCCCCAGGGAGTGGCTGGTGCCCCAGTGGGTGGGGCGGGCCAGGGGAGGGGGCGGGCCCCCTGCTGATGGGGCACCTCTTGGGCAGTGGGGGCCCTCCTCCACCCCACCTGCCCACCCCGTGGATTCTTGGACCCTGTTTAACTTGAACTTCTGTGGACTTCAGTGTCCAGCCAAACAAAATGGGCTGAAACCAAGATAAAATGAAAATAGCAGATACGGTTTCATGACTCTGCTGGGCTTTTCAGTGAGTGTTTGTAAAGCTCCTACTGTGTGCTTAGCCAGGTATGAGTTAGGCCCTTATGTATGTGTCTTCCTGGCCACAGGGAGAGGAGGGATGTGACCGCACCCATTTTGCAGGTGAGAAGAATGAGGCTCAGAGAGGTTTGGTGGAAATTTGAACTAAGATGTCCATGGGACATCTTCAGGACCCTGGCCCACCCCAGGGGCCAGGCCAGGATTGGCGGGAGGCTGGGGCACATTCACTCAGTGCCCCGCTGGGGCTTACGCCAGCTCCGGCCTGCCCTGGGGCAGCAGATAAGTCTTATCAGATGGAGGCCACTGTGGCTGTTGGCTCCGCGGTAACAGGCTGTCTTGGGGTGGGGGGCGGGGCTCGGGGGGGCACCCAGAGACAGCGGCCTCAACTTCTTGCCCGCCATGCGGCTTTGGAGGCGGGAAACAGGTGGGACCTAGGGTTGGTTCCTCTGCGGCTCCTTGTGGAGTAGGATAGGGTGGGGGAAGGGAAAGAGAATTGAAGGGAGAGAGGAGAGAGGCAGAGAGAGACAGAGAGATGGGATAAATAGACATAGAGCTGGAAGAAGGCAGAAAGAGGGCACAGGAAGAAAGGAGAGACAGGGTGGGGGAGTGGGGAGAGACACACAGAGAGAGCCAGAGACAGTTCAGGACAGTTAGAAAGAGGCAGAGAGAGAACGGGAGACAGGTAGAGTTGGACAGAAGACGAAAGATAAAGATTGGAAATGATAGAGGCCAAGGATGCAGGACGCAGGCGGAGAAACTGAGAAGGGAGACAAAGATGACGTTGTAGAGCGGGGGACAGTGACAGAGATTCAGAGACAGAGAGTCTTGAGAGGACGTCCATGAGACCCCAGGTGGCAGCTGGGCAGGACATCCAAGAGACCCTGGGCAGGTGGTACCAGGGTGGGGGGAAGGGAGAGGGTATGGATTGATGTGGACCCATGTGGCCTGTGGCTCTGCCTTCAGCCTGATGAGAGGGACCTCCAGAGAGTCACTGGGCCCCCGCACCTCAGTCCCCACCTTCTTGCCCTGTCCTACCTCCCTCTCCGAAATAACAACAACAACCAGTGTCTCATGCTGACACAGACCTGTGCCTGGCCTTTTCAGAGCACTTTCTTCATGTAAAATCATTGAACACACATGTATACAGTAGGTGTTCAACTTGGGTCCCTGTAGGACAGTAGGTAAGACAGCCCAATCATGGCCCCAGGACTCCATGGGATAGGGTGCTCTGCTGACCACCCATTCTATAGATGAGGAGACTGAGACCCACTGACGGCAGAGGGCGAGGATTGAGGCCTGGATCAGTGGGATCTGCTCACTCACTGGCCCACCCCAGAGGGAGTTTACCATCCTCATCTTACCTCTCTGGGCCTCAATGTCCTCATATGCAAAATGGGAGATTTGAGAAGGGAAGAGAACAAGGCCATTTATTGAGCCCCTGCTGTATGTCCCACTCTGTGCCAAGCCCTCATCAGTAAGAAGGACAAAGACTCCTATGACTCAAGTGGTGATGGTCTCAGGGCATCCTCTCTGGAGCCAGCACCCCCTCATTTATAGACCGCCCTCACCACTGACTGGCATGTGGCCTTGGGTGAGTTACTGTCCCCTCTGGAAAGATAGGGTAATAGTAGCAGGGTGATTAGGGTGACTAAATGAGATTTAATCCATTAAGTGATTTTAACACATTTGATTCTGAAATCTCAAAAAATGCTAAGTATTCTTACTTATTTATTGAGTACCTACTGTATATGAAGGATGATATTTGGCCATTTTTTATTAGCACTACTACTAATTCTAGTACTAGTGCTAATAATATGCTGACACCAATACCCATACTAGTTCTAATTACTAATACTAATATTAATTCAAATATTGATATTAACACTAATGTTAATTTTAACATGATGGTAGTAATACTAATTCTAATCGAACACACATACTTTTATTAATACTAATATTAATTCTAGAACTAATAATTATTATTCTTTTAATTCTATCAGCAACACTAATGGTAATACTACTACTACTACTAATTCTGATACTAATACTTTCCCTAGCACTTAATATAATAGCAACAGCAGCAGCATTATTTGCCCGGCCACCCCAGGCACCGTGCTAGTGCTCTCCCTACATAATTTTATCCTTTTCTTGCCTGGGTGGTGTAAGTGCATATAATTGCCCCCATCTTCTAGACTTAAGAGTAGGCGCAGAGAAATGAAGATGTTCGTCTGAGGCCCTGGGTTCTTGTCTCAGCTCTGACTGGTTTGCTGCGTGATTCTTGGGCAGGACACCCTCTGAGCCTCAGTTTCTTTGCCTGGAAAATGGGTACAATCATGGAACCCACGTCCAGCGTTGTTGAGAGGCCACTCATCACAGGGCCTGCCTGGCACACCGTAGATGGTGAGCTCCGTAATGGTAACTCTTTCATTGCTATTATTACTAGCAATAGCTGTTGCAGTGTCGCGGGTGAGGTAGGGAAATCTGCCCTCCTTGGGAAGGGCAGGCTGGAGGCCTGTCTCAGACCAGGGTTTGGCTGCTGGGCTCACAGTCCATTTCTTCATAACTGGAGCGGAGAAAGGGCTCAGGAAGGGAAATAAAGGGTGCACAGTGGGGGCCTCAGGGCTCTGCCTCCATCAAGAACCAAAACCCTGCGGCTCTGAGCCCAGGCCTCACCCCATTCCCTCCCCCATCCCCGTGGAGGGGGCACAGGCCCAGAAGTCTGTGGCGACAGTTCAGCCAGCAGGGAGGCAGCTGGGAGTGGGCAGATAAGGGAATCGGCAGGGCCAGGCCAGGCTTTGGGGGAGACTGACGAGGGCGGGGGCGGGGGTGGGGGTGGGGTGTCTGGGCCAAGCGTCCTTTCTGTCAGGCCTCCATTTAAGTAAGACTCAGTCCCAATGGCCTCTCTTCCCGGAAGCCTTCCCTGACTGATTCCCTCCCTCCTAGCATCTCCTGGGCTCCAGAACTTGGTCCAAACCCGTGACATTTGGACTGTTTTGCCTCTCGCAGACTGTGAAGTCCACCAGGGGTAGGACAGAGCCCGGCTCCCCTCTCTGTCAATAGCACCCAGAGAAACATCAACCTAAGTCTGCTAAGGAGTCAAACGTTTGCCTTAGAACCAAACCACTGTGGTTTTTAAGAGAAAAAGCATTCACCTTTGTTAAATGTTAATATTTTGTCCTATTTACTTCAGATCCTTTTTAAAAGAAATATGATATTACAGATATGGTTGAAGTCCTTGCACCAATTTCATTTCCCTCTCTCCTTCCACTGCCTTAAGTTTGGTGTTTATCTTCATCGTAAATATTTTTATTCCATCACTGCATATGTATGTATGCATATATAAGAAATGATACTGGGGGTTTGGGGCCTGTTTTTGAACTTCATATAAATGGAATCACACAGTATGTGCTTCTTTTTGCTCAGCATGTCTGTGACATTCATCATTTTTTAAATTGAGATGTAATTTACATACCACAAAATTCACCCTTTTAAAGTGTACATGTCAGTGGTTAGAACCTTCACAAGATTGTGCAGCTATCATCACTAATTCCAGAACATTTTCATCACCCCAAAAAGAAGCCCTGTGCCCATTAGCAGTCACTCCCCTTTCCATTTCCCCCTCCTCCCAGACCCTAGCAACTCATCTACTTTCTGTCTCTGTGGATTTGCCTGTTCTAGACACTTCGTATAAACAGAATCATACAATATGTGGCCTTTTGTGACTGGCTTCTTTTACTTAACATAAAATTTTCACGGTTCATTCATGTTGTAGCATGGATCAGTACTTCATTCCTTTCTAGGGCTGAATAACATTCCATTATATGAAAATTCTACATTGTGCTATCCATCTGATTAACAGTGTTGGCTCTCATGAATAATGCTGCTATGAACGAACATTCATGTAAACGATTTTACGTGGACATATGTTTTCAGTTCTCTTGGATGTATATCTAGGAATAGAATTGCAGGGTCCTATGGTAATTATGTTTAGCCTTTTGGGGAACTGCAAAAGTGTCCTCCATAGCAGCTGTATGAAGTTTCCGATTTATCCACATCCTCTCCAACACTTGTTATTGTCCTTCTTTTTGAGTCTAGCCATCCTAGTAGGTGTGATACGGTACCTCATTGTGCTTTTGATTTGTACTTCCCTAATGACTTACAGTGTTGAATGTCTTCCCATGTTTTTGTTGGCAATTTGTATGTCTTCTTTAGAGAAATATCTGTTCAATCCTTTGCCCACTTTTATTGGATTATTTGCCTTTTATTTTTGAGTAGTAAGAATTCTTCATATATTCTGGATGCTAGACCCTTATCGGATATGTGATTTGCAAATATTTTCTCCTATTTGTGGGTTATCTTTTCACTTTCTTGAGTGTCCTTTGGAGCCCAAAAGCTTCTAACTTTGATGAAGTCCAGTTAATCTATTTTCCCTTTGGTTGCTGGGCTTTAGGTGTCATATCTAGGAAACCATTGCTTAATCTAAGGTCATGAAGATTTATGGCTAAGTTTTCTTCTAAAAGTTTCACAGTTTGAGTGCTGACATTTAGGCCTTTGATTCATTTTGTGTTACTTTTTGTATATGGTGTCAAGTAGGGGTCCAGTTTAATTCTTTTGCATGTGTATATCCAGCTGTCCCAGCACCATTTATTGAAAAGACTATTCCTCCCCCTATTGAATTATCTTGGCAAACTTGTCAAAAATCAATTGCCCATAACATATGAGTTTATTTCTGGACTCTCAATTCTATTCCATTGATCTATATATCTGTTTTTATGCCAGTACCACACAGCCCTGATTTCCGTAGTTATGTAGTAAGTTTTTTAATTGGGAAGTGTAAGTCCTCCAACTCTGTGTTTCTTTTTCAATATTATATCTATCCTGGGTCCCCAGTATTTCCACTTGAATTTTAGAGTCAGTTTGTCAATTTCTGCAAAGAAGTAAGCTGAGATTCTGATAGGGATTGCACTAAATTTGTAGATCAACTTGGGGAAAATTGCCATCTTAACACTATAAAGTCCTCAGTTGATGAACATGTGATGTATTTTAATTTATTTAGGTATTCTTTAATTTCTTTCAATAATGTTTTATAGTTTTCAGTGAACAAGTCTTGCCTATCTTTTGTTAAATTTATTACCAAGTATTTTTTTCTGATGCTATTGTGAATGGAATTGTTTTCTTAATTTCATTTGCGGACTGTTCTTTGCTAGTGTATAGAAATATGATTAAGTTTTCTATGATCTTGTATCTTGCAACCTTGCTGAGCTTATTCACACACACACACACACACACACACACACGATGGCTTTGCTGTGTGCCCCTTAAGATTTTCTGTGTACAATCTGCAAATGGAGATAGTTTTACTTCTTCCTCTCCAATATGGATGCCTTTTATTTCTTTTTATCGCCTAATTGCCCTGGCTAGAACCTCCAGTACGATGTTGAGTTGAAGTGGTGAGAGGGTACATCCTTGTCTTGTTCCTGATCTTCAGGAGAAAGTTTTCAGTCTTTCATCATTAAATATGAAGTTAACTGCAGATTTTTTGTAGATGTCCTTTATCAGGTTGAGGAAATCCTCTTCTATTCCTGGTTTGTTGAGTGTTTTTATCATGAAAGGGTGTTGAATTTTGTCAGATGCTTTTTCTGCATCTATTAAGAAGATCATGTGGATTTTGTCCTTTATTCTATTAATATGGTGTATTACACTGATTGATTTTTTGTGGGGAGGGTATTAGATCTATTTATTTATTTTTAGAGGAGGTACCGGGAATTGAACCCAGGACCTCATGCATGCTAAGCATATGCTCTACCACTTGAGCTATACCCTCCCCAACATTGACTGATTTTTGTCTGTTGAATCAATCTTGCATTCCTGGGATACATCCCACTTGGTCATGGTGTATAATTCTTTTATATGTTACTGAATTCTGTTTACTAGTATTTCATTTACGTCTATATTCATAAGAGATATTGGTCTGTAGTTTCTTTCCTTGTCATGTCTTTGTCTGATTTTGGTATCAGGTAATGATGGCCTCATAAGTTCATTCCCTTTTATTGCCGAGTAGTATTCCATGGAGTGGACAACCATAGTTTGGTTAACCATTCATCTGCTGATGGACATTTGGGTTGTTTCCAATCTTTTCCCTGTTGTAGCAAACCTTCTACTTATAAACTCATATGCCTCTCTCTGTACACACACGTATGAAAGAGTTTTTCCCGGAGTGGGGGTATCAGTCTATCTATTCATCTATCCATCTACACACCCATCTATCCATCCATTGGCCCACCTCCCCATTCATTCATTCACCCATTTGCTGCCCTTCTTTCCTCCCTTCCATTCCTTCCTTTGCTCCTTCCTTCCTTCCTTCCATAGATCATCTGTGTCTAGGCATATAACATCTGGGTCTAAGGCAAGCTGTTTTATTTTTAATAGGCAGGAAACCTGCTACAGCTTTTGACAAAGCCTTTCGTGTGCTGAAACTCATATCCTTACACATCCTCTATTCCCAGCATTTTGGGGGCGCCCTGGGAGTTTACTCATAGGGCATCGCTGAACTACCACCTGGAGACTGCTGGGACACCGGAGTCCCCAAGACTAGGGGCTCCCTCACCTCCAAGAGACTCTTCTACGTGCTCCTCCATCCATCTCTTACTTGCTCGGGGAAGCCGCGCGATTCCCTCTCCTCTTTGCCTGCCTCATTTGCTGGTTCCTCCTCTGTTTCAGAACTCTAAATGTCCTTGGGCCTCTTCTCTAGTTGATGTTTTCTATCTTGGTGAACTCATCCAGTCTGTCTTCAAAGTATCTCTAGAATCTAACGACTTTTTATCACCCCCCCCCACTGCCAGCACTGTCATCGCTCGCCTGGACCACTGCTGTAGCCTCCTCCTCAGGGTCCCCCAGCTTCCACCCTCAACCCCGCTGTCTATTTTCCTCCCAGTAGCCAAAAGGAACTGGTTAAATCCTAAGTCAGATCGCAGCCCTTCTCTGCTCATGACCATCTGGCAGCTCCCGTCACTCAGAGTAAAGGCCAGAGTCCTCTCCATGGCCCACAGGGCCCTACACAGTCTGTCCCCCACCACCTCTCTGACCTCACCTCCTGCTGCTCCCCCACCACTCACCCTGCTTTGCTGCACTGGCCTTCTCACTATTCTTCACATACACACACACCAGGCCCCTTCGTGCTTCAGGGCCTTTGCACTGGCTGTTCTCACTGCTTGGTATGCTCTTTCTCCAGCTATCTTGGCGGCTCCCTCCCTCATCTCTTTGGGTCTGTGCACAAATGTCTCCTTCTCAGTGAGGTTTCCCCTGCCCATCCCATTACCCATTGGAAAATTGCCCCAGCGATTTTTATCTGTTTGGCGACCTTTCCATATTTTCTTTTTCTCCAAAGCACTTATCATCCTCTAACACACTTGATGTTTTCTTTGCTTAATTTTATTTCTTTTCTGTCTCCCACTAGAATGGCAGCTCCACCAACATAGATATGCTTATCTCTCCTGTTCAACACTGTCTCTCCAATGCCTGGAACAGGGCCAAGCACGCAGTAGGTGCTCAGTATACATTTATTGGGTAACTGAATGAGTGAATGGTGGAGGGAGGGGACAGAAACAGAGGAAATTTGTCCTTGTCCCGCCTACTCTGTCAGGAGCTGAGCCTCAGTTGAGATGAGTCTGAACCTGCCAGATCCAAAGATGGAAAATGCCACATTCCCTGGGGGTGAGACCAGCTAAGGCATTCCAGGAAAAAGGTAGCATAATCTGGGCTGGTCCTTGAAGACCCTGTGGGAATCATAGAGACCTTGGGGTTCAGTCAAGCCTATGGGGTAGAGGAAACGGCAGGCAGCACTTGGAAGAAGTGAGGTGAAAGATAAAGGGCGAAAAAGGATGGGCTCACCAACGAGGAGATATCTGTCAAGGGCCTGGAATCCCAAGGGGATGACCCTGGATTTGGTCCTCAGAGATGTCATACCCTGGTCACTGACCCCTCAAATAGCTCAGAGACCTCACATCCTCGATGAACACCCATACAGAATGCTGAGACAATAAAAATGAAGAGCTTACATTAATTGAAAGGTTATCAATTTACTGGATGGAGGACATTCAGACTTGTTGGTCCCAAATCCACCTCAGATCCCCCAGCAGGATGTGTGAAGTGCCCAAGTCCTCAGTCCTTGAAGGCTGGGCCTGGGTGAGGGTTTGCAGGAAGGAAGGGAGAGGGCGACATCGCAGGGGACAGAGAGGAGGACAGCCAGCCTCCGTCACGAGGAGATATAGTTGGACACCTCAATCAAGTTTCTGTCAGGGTCCCGAAAGTAGATGGACATGATGGGCCCCTTTGCCCCCATTCTGGGGACTGGACCCTCCTCAATGGGGACATCACAAGCCTGAAGTAGGAGGAGAAGATAAAAGTCATTCATCACAGTCCAGGTGTGACCGAGATGTAATTCCTTATAGTGGCCTAGAAGACCCCTGTATCTTTCTGACTTCATCTCCTACCATTCTTCCCTCCCTCATTCTGCTCCAGCAACTTACCAGCTGTATGACCTCAAGCAGAGTACCTAACTGTTCTCTGTACCTCAGTTTCCTCATCTGTCAAATGGGGATGATAACGTGCCTAGTATTATCTAGTAAGTGGCAGAGTCAGAACTGGAACCCAGGCAGTCTGGGACAGAGAAAGTCCATACACTTAACCCCACTTTATTTTCAAACCAGACTTTTTCACTGATATTTTCCAAAGAAGGAGTCCAGGTCAGTTTACCCAAAATATATTTAATACTTCAATCTGTGTTCCCCAAAAGGAGTACCAATGACCCTTTCACATGAAATCATTTTAAGTGTTACAGGGACACTAAAGTAAATAACAGCAAGTCAGAAATTATTCCCTCTTCAATCCTCTTTCAGTCCTTATGATACCAAGAAGAAAGTCTCTGGTGGATACTAAGTCCTTGGTACCTCCTTAACCACTTGCCAGATCTTTTGGAATATCAGGCCCAGAGAGTGTGGGTAACAGAAGTGGCTAGAATCTAATGACATTGTGATGCTTTTATAGCTGTTTGTTTTTACAATTACCTCCCCTTTATACCAAGATATAGTGGGTTTTCATTTACTTGGTTGAACATTTTCTTTTTACATAAATACATTTTAAGTATGTGTTTATGTAAAAAGAATTTAGATATGATTTTTTCACAAGGGTGATGGAGAGTTTTCTTGTAAAATACATTTGTTTACAGGAAAAAAAATGTCAGTAAAAATGATGAGTAAACAATTGTGTCCAGGCCTTATCTGGATGTGATGAAACCTGTTACGTCTGAAGTTTGAGTCAGGCTTCTGTTTTCACTGCATCTGCAGCAGCTTTCTCAAAAGAGGATGGAAATCTGACTCACCTTGAGATGCTGGACCATTTCCTCCAAAGGCACCTCTGTGATCAGACATATATCCAGGGATCCGGGGACTGGGTGAGCGGCTTTGGGTTCAAATTCTTTCCCACTTCGTGGAGGTTAAATTTCTGGTCTCCAAAACACAATGCTTTCCGGTCCCCCTATTTAGGGAGAGAAAACAACCTAGAACTAAACCTCTTAAGATGAGTGTGAGGCAAAGCACCCCCCACACCTACCCCAACAAGATTAAAAAAAAAGATAGAAGAAGGCTTTGAAGAAAAACAACAGCCTGTTGACCCACCCTAGTCTCATTCCTTAGAGGCAGCTGCTTTCAACGTGTGTATGTGTTTCTTCTGGAAATTATTTCCATACCTCCAAACAATATGTTTATATGACCCATGGCAGAAACAGCCATTTGTCTACTTAATATGCATTTCTCCCCTTTACTTTTAAACACAACCCAAATTTCAGTGGGGTCTGTTGTGTGCCCAGCTTTCAAAGCATGCATCTCCCAGCATTCCTTGCTGGGAGGCCGCCTAAGATGGACTGGACAGTGGGGTGTCAGCAGAGGTTGTGAGCAGTACTTCTGGGAACCTCCCCACCCCACCGAGCTGGCGCTTTTTGCCCACTTACTTCCTCCTTCTTCCAGCCACTGCCCGAGTCCTGACTGCCTATCTCTGGACTGGTTGTTAAATGAAAGAAAAAGAAACCCACTGGTAGTTGAGTTTTTTCCCCACATGCCTCCAAACAGTTCCTAATCGATACGCCACTCTTTCTTGACTGGGCAACTTTAAACATTTTCTATCCTTTCCCTGCTATGATAAATGAGAATTGAGCTCATCCACATTACTACCCCTCCCAATAGAATTCTGTCATCATTTTTAGTTCCTCTTTTGGCTCCTTTAGAACTTTTCAATAACCCGCTTGCGTCTTTACATTTTGATGGATGGCCATAGCGTCTCCTTGGCCCAACTCTCTTCTTCATCCCGCCTCCCTCTCCTGTACCTCTCAACTTCTGCCATTTCTTTTACCATTTTCATGTTCCTTTTATATCACCATGACTGATACCACATCCATTCCATCAGAAAATGACTTTATTTCACTTGAACAGTAGTTCAGCTGAGTACAGAATTTGAGGTTATAGGTTATTTTCCCACAGCCTTATAAGTATGTTGCTTCGTTGTCTTCCTGAATCTGGTGTTGCTGATAAAAAGTCTGATGTTACCCTGTTTTTCAGTCTTTTATAGATGATACATCCACCCTCCACTCCTGAAGCTTTTAGGACCTTGTACTGGAATTTCGCTGCCATATGTCCAAGTACAGGAAGCCGAGGCTACACGTGCCTCATTATCATCATTGACCCATGCAAAGCCCCTGTCTAGTTTTATTCGTGTATTTATTCTTTTTATCCCCATTCTTCATTCCTGTCCCCACCCTAGGCAACTATTATAATGTGTTGGATGGTCATCCTTTGGTCTTCATAAGCTATTGTAAAAAGTATATAATTGTTTCATGTGTGTATGTTCTAAATGGTACCTTGCTGTCGACCTGACTAGACGCCTTCATTTTTCACTCAGCGTGATCTTTTTAAGACCTGTCCATCTTGCTGTGTATACATCCAGTCTGATGTCACATAGTTCTATTTTTATGCATAGTGTTCTATGTTAGTTTTAAAAATCTTACCCTGTTTGCCATTCCATGGGCCCTTTCAATTTAAGACATCTTCAGTGTCTCTGCATCTCTCACTTTTGAATTTGTTCTGAATTCTGAAGGCTAGTATTCAGACTCTGGAAACTTCCTTTTTACCTTGAATCTCTTTTTCTTGGGACCTTTCCTTCTCCTGATCCAAACTGGACTGATTGTTTTCTAGATATCTTTCTGGATCTTCCTCTTGGGATCCACTGTGTCCTGACTTTCATTGTCTTTCTTATTCCTTTTTTAAAAATTTATTTTGTTTATTTTGGGGGGGTAATTAGGTTTAGTTATTTATTTATGTTTTGTCTTTCTTATTCCTGGATTAATCACTTATTTTGATGTAGTGTATTCTTAAGTAATTTTCAAAGCAAGTGGGCAAAGTTTCTGGGTCTTCTTATGTCTAAGAGTGTTTTATTCTACATTCACATTGATTAATAGTTTGGCCATAGAATGTCTAGGTTGAAATGTTTTCCCTCAGAATCTCGAAGTATTTCTTCTATTGTCTTCTGATCTCTGATTCTTGGCAAATCTGATCTCTGCATATTTCCTTTCTCTTTGTAGTTGAATTGCTTTTCCTTTTAACCTTTCTGAAAGCTCCTAGAAGCTTTGTTTTGATTTTAATGTTCTGTAATTTCATAAGAACATAGATCTAAGTGTCAATGTACTGGATACTCAGTTAACCCTTTCCTTATAAAGACTGGAAAGTTCTCTTGCGTTATTCTGTGGTAGTTTCTTACCTTCCTTTCGCCCCATTCTCTCTCTGTAAAGGCCACTATTTGGAGTTTGGATCTCCTCCATTGAACATTTACATTTTTCTCACAGATCTTATGTGTGTGTGTGTGTGTGTGTTTGTGTGTGTGGCTTTTTTGTGGTGGGGGGAGTTTTCAGTTATTTTTTTAAAGTAATATTATCAAGTTTATCCCAGCTGCAGTTTGGCATTTGGGGACATGATTACCTTGAAAGTCATGACCTCCATGCCCAGGATCTTGGAATAAAACATAGTGGTGTTTTTAACGCTCCTTACTGTCATCACAATGTGGTCAAGTCTGTGGATAAGACACGGAGAAGGGCTCTGACTGCTGTCCCTCCATGACTAAAAACAAACAGAAAAAAGTCAGAATGGACCATGCTACCACTGGTCACACCCATGTTTCACAAGAGCCCATGTGTCTGCCATGACTACTTTCCACTGTTTTCTTGGTCTTTTCCTCCTTCCAGAGGAATAGACGAGAAGGTTAGGGGAGGTGGCGACCAAGACCAAACCCTCCCTTGTCTTCCCCAAGCTAGAATACATCTCTTCTGTAAGAAATGACGCGACATAGAGGAGGCCCAACCCCATGAATACAAGCCCCCTCTTGGCCAGTTTAACCAAGTCCCCTCCTTTTTCACTCCACAGTTAACGATCACAGAGGATCACAGAGGACAGGACAAAAAGGTAGCATCTCAGATGAAATTAATGTTTCTGGGCGTGTGTGCTTACAGATCAACCTTGACGTCCAGTGGGAGGGCACAGCTTCCCACCCCTCACCTCCTGCCTTTGGCACATCTACCAGGTCTTTCTCTTGATTTGTGTTCTTTAGTCATTTGTATATTTACATTACATCTGCTGCAGAATTAGAAGAACCCTGTGCACTGTAAATTGCAGAATATAGTGGTTAAAAGAACAGACTCTGGAGCCAGACTGACATTTAATTACTCTCTGTGTGCCTTGGTTTCTCCTTCTGGGAAATGGGCCTGAATTTATATGTGTCTTATAGGACTGCTGTGAACAATTTTTTTAAAAGTTGTATTTTTAAGGGCTTAGAACCTTGCCTGACATAGCAAGTGCTGTAAGAGTTAATGATAATGACGATGACAATGATGTCATGATCATCTTGTTTATAATTTGGACTCTCTGCATTCACTCCCAATCTCTACAGCCTCATCCATTGCTCTTGAACTCCAAGCCACATTGTCCTTTTGCCTGTTCCTCATGAGGGCCATCCTTGTACCTTTAGCCTTAGGGCCTTTTGCACATGCTAATATCTGTCTCCCTGATTAGCATATAAGCTTCATAAGCATAGAGATTTCTGTTTTGTTCCCCACTGTGTCCCAAACAACCAGCAGATGTTCAATAATATTTATTCAACTAATGAGTGTCTACTACAGTAATTAGGCCCAGAACCTGGCACAAAGTCTGACTTTTCTATTCCATTCTATTCTATTTTATTCTATTTCATTCCACCCTGTGCTATTTTAGTCTGTTCTATTATGTTCAATTCCGTTGAAACTATTACATTTTACCATATGTGCTGCTGAAGCGAGCACTCAAACCATTACATTTTAAACAGTTGATTTCACTGAGCCCCAGCTTTTAAAAAAAAATACTGTGCTTTTCTATTTTCATGAGTGGCGGAGGCATTAGCAAAGTTGCTGACATCTGCTGTCCTCATGGATACAGAGAATCCACGTGGACACAGAAGCAGTAGAATGAGAAAGTGATTGACAGTTGGGCCCCACTGAAAATAAAGTCGTATGTTAAAAACATCTTATTAACCTTTCAATGTCTGTAGGGTTTATAATAGATAGCACTCCCTTTCAGTCCCAATATTGGTATTTTATATTTTTTCTCCTAATTTATTGAGAGAACAAAAATTACAAATTATTAATCTGTTCAAAGAACCAATTTTTGACATTATTTTCTCTATTGTATGTTTGCTTTCCATTTTACCAGTTTCTGCTCTTATCTTTATAACTTCCTTCTTTCCACTTTCTTAGGGTTCAGTTTGCTGTTCCTTTTCCAGATCCATGATCTGGAAGCTGAGGTAATTGATTTTCACCTTGTCTATAGGCGTTTAGAGCTCTGGACTTCCTCTAAGCACTGCTTTAGCTGCATCCACCAACTTTGATACTTTTTGGAAATCAACTCAACCTACTCCTCCCATTATTCAATCCCGTGCCAGCTCAGATTCACTAACCCCCCGACCCCCTCCAGCTTTGCAGATAGGGAGCTCCATCCTAGCAAATTCAAGAATAAGTAGAGCTGGCTCTTCTAAGGAACAAGATCCACGTGGCTTAGAATCTAAGCATGAGGGAGCAGGACCAGGAGGGGAGGGCAGGGCCACATCATGCAGGGTTTTCAAGGCTAGGTTAGAGAGGCTGGTTTAGAAAAAGATGATCAAGTCAACTGAAGAAAAATGCACAACCTTACAGTTGTGAGTTATGTTTTATTCAGGGTCTTACTGAGAACTGTAGCCCAGAAGGCAACCTCTCAAGACAGCTCTGAGGAACTGCTCCAAAGAGGTAAGGGAGGGGCAGGATATATAGGAGTTTTGGCTGGGGAAAAAACCCAAGTAGTCAAACATCAAAAGATTGCTGCTTATCACAAAAACAAAACAAAACAAAACCCAAAAAACCCAGACATCTCAAGTTAACGATTTTAGCACTTTTCTATGTATGGGAAGATGCAAGAGTCTGGGCTCATTGAAATTTTTCCTTTGAGATGCATCTCAGCTATCTAGGGCCAGTATCCTGTTTTTCTCCATCCTGCATTCCCCCAGGGCGCACCGTTGCGGGGAGGCTGCAGTGGCTGCCAGCTGGAAGGCGAGGAGCATTCATTGTTTGCTGGAATGGCAGGCAACACTCCCCTCCCACAACCCAGACGCGGTAATCCCCTACGCTTACTGTGTGCCAAGCCCTGTTCTAAGCACTACACAAAATATAATCCATTTTATTCCTCACAACAACCCAACAGCATGTGTGTATATAATATTAAATACATAAATATATATATATATATATACTGAAGTGCCTACAATACAATACTCTCACACCTGCCTTCTCCACAGGGAAGGCTTCTATCTTTCTACAAAGTCCTCTTCAAGGTCTCCTTCAGTGTGCCAGGGGTCCCTGGGATTCTTCTAGCAAACCTCAAGGTCAGTGCTGTGTTTCTCAGCCGCTCCCCACACCGCTCTAGCCTGAGGGCCCTGGCTTCCCCACCCCCAGCCGCCCCCCAGGAAGCAGAACAGCCAGTCCTCAGCCCAGGCCCACTCCTGCAGCATGTTGACAGCTGGTCTTGTGTTAGAGCACGGACCTCTTTCTGTGTCCCTCTGCTGCCCTCTGCTTGTCTTTGAAGGAGAAAGGAAAAGAGAGGAGGATGGGGAAAATGGATGACAGCGCTCCAGGATAGCCTGCGTGGAAGGGAAGCAGATTACCACGCCCGGCCGGAGACCCCTGCCTTGGTGCCAAGACCCGTGCCCCAGGCCCCCAGGGCCCATCCCATTCACCTGCTTCTCCAAAGTCCTGCTCCACATCCCGCCTGGCAGCCTGGAGGGCAGATGGTGCAGCAAGGTGGGCTAAGTGTCCTTGCTCGTGGGCCTCCAGGCAACCCTCTGGCTCTGTGCCCAGAGATCAAAGGGCAGGAGTAGGAGGGCCACGGACTGAGGACGGCTGGTGCTGACAGAGGTAGGTGGTGCACGTGCCAGGACTCTGACATCAAACTGGAAAGTAAAAGCTTAAGATATGTCTTAGCCAGCTCAGGCCGCCATTATATAGTACTATAGACAGGGTGGCCTAAACCACAGAAATGTATTTTCTCACAATTCCGGAGGCCAGAAGTCCAAGATCAGAGTGCCAGCATGGTCAGGTTCCGGTGGCAGCTCTCTTCCTGGCTTGAAGATGGCCACCTTCTTGCCATGTGCTCACATGGTAGAAAGAAAGAACGTGGTTTCTGGTGTCTTCTTATAAGGACACTAATGCCATCATGAGGTCCCCACCCTCATGACTTCATCTAACCCTAGATAAGCCGCCCAAAGCCACTCCTAATACCATCACATTGAGGGGTTAGGGCTTTTAACACATGAATTTGCGGGGTGGGCACAAACATTCAATCCATAACGAGGTGTATATGTGTAAGGGATTACTTTGTAATGACATAGGAAAAGCCACCCATCCCAAACTACTGGGGGGAACGTTATTTCTAGGGTGTGAGGCCCCTGATCTATTTAGGGTGTGTCTCTGGAGTGTGAGATCTCTGATCTGTTTGGGACTGAGCTCTGGAGTCCTCCCCCTTCCCAACCTCTCTCTCACCCCATCCTCACCCTCCATTGCTGAGAGTCAGGGAACAATCATCAGCCCTATTGCTGTTTGCCTTACCTTGAACTTAGCACCTCTCTCTCTTGTGGGTTACCTCTCTAGCCCCTGGGGCATATGAGTTTCAGATTCTTATTCCTAGGCACACCCCAGATCCCTAACAGACACACAAATGCTCTGTGCTATGCATATTATTTTTATCTTACGATTTTCCTTTATAAAGAGTTACACGAATACATGAAATGGGTTTGTATTAAAAGTTCCAACAAAACATCAAATATATGGACTATACAGGTCATCCCCACCTCCACTCTCCAAAAATGATCACTGAGGTCAGTTTCTGGTGTTTCCTTCAAACACATACACACACACACACACACGCATAAACACACACACACACACAGAGTCACTAAAACCATCTCCCACCTGCTTTTCCCTGTTAACAGCATGTCCTGTGGAAGGCACTCCCACCCCATAGGAACACACAGGTCCCACGCATTCTGTATCACGTCAGGTGGGTACTCTGTGGTATAACATAAACTCCCCAACTTTCATTTCACTCTGCAGCAGTCATTGTCTAGAAATGGACATTTATAAGGTTTTCCCAGTCATTTGCTCCTACCTGCCTGGTGCACACAGCTGTGTGTGTGTGTGTGTGTGTGCGAGTTAGAAGTGGAATTGCTGGGTCAAAGGGTTCTTTCATTCAGCAGACACCCAATGAGTGAGGTCTGTGTGATGAGCACTGTTCTAAGTGCTGGGAAGACATCAGAGAACAAGACAGACAAACATCCCTGCCCACATGGAGCCAACATTCCAGTTGGAGAGGAGGGTGTCCAATTTTTATTTAGATGTTTCACAAGCCCTGGAAGCTTTCACTGTCATCAGTGGTGTGGTCACTGGCTGCTTCTCCACTGCTGTCTGTGGGGCAGGGTCTGCAGCAGGAGGCTGGCTGCCTTGGCCTTTGCTCTCTACAAGATCTGCAGGGGCTGGGGCTGGGATGGTCTGTTTGGAGACGTGGATGCGAGTATGCCTGTGTGTGGTTGCGGAGGGGTGTGGAAACTGAATGGTCTACTGGAGAGAGAGAGTGAGGGGAAACAGGCAGAGACCACTTCCTGGTGTTGGAGGGAGCTAGGGACAAAGTGATCCCCAGAGGTGGCATGAGCAGCCCCTCCCGGGCCACATCCACAGAGAGTGGGCAGGAGCGGAGGCGCTGAGGTATCTAGTGTCGTCTCAGAACATACCATTGTGTCATTGTCATGTGGACACTTTTGGGGCCACATAGACAGGGGGTATGGCCACCACATGAGGTAGCCTACACTGGAGGTTGGACAGCCTTGGTTACTCAGACGGGGGTCTGGGCTTTCCAGAAGTCACACACACTGGGGAGTGGACACTCCTGGAATCACACACGCTGGACGCTGCACACTCTTGGGATCACACAAAGTAGAGTGTAGACACCTCTGGGGTCAGATGGACAGGTGTGTTGACATTGTTATAGTTAAACAAACTAAGGTGTGGACGGTCCTGGGGTCAGGTTTGTATGTGGACACTTCTGGGCTCACACACACTAGGAGGCGGGTACTTCTGAGTCACCCAGACTGGTTAGTGGATATTTGTAGGGTCACACACACACATACACCCCAGAGGTCAGATAGCCTGGGGTATGAACACTGCTGAGGTCACACAGACTGTAGCGTGGAACCTCTTGGGATCACTCAGACTGGGATGTACACATCTGGGATCAGACAGCTTAAGGTGTGGGCAACTGTGAGGTCATACAGGGTGGGTGTGGACAGATGTGGGGTCATGAAGATGAGGGTTTGGACACTCCTGGAGTCACTCAGACTGGAGTGTGGACAGACCTGAGGTCACTCAGGCAGAGGTGCGAACACTCCAAGGTCTCCCAGTGCACATACACTGGAGAGTAGACAGTCCTGAGGTCACACAGAGAGAGTTTGGAACACTCTTAAAGTTAAACACATTGGGGAGTGGACACTTCTGAAACCACACACGGGTGGACTGGACACTCCTTGTGTCACACAGACTGGAGTGTGAACATTCATGGTGTCCCACAGAGGAGGGAATACTCTTGGGGTTATAGTGACTGAGGTGGGGACAGTCCTATGGGCTGTGTTGTAGACACTCCTGCAATCTTGGTGAAAGCGGTATGGACATTCTTGTGGTCAAAGAAGTGATGAGCCGGCACTGCCGGGGCTGGAGATTAAGGTGTGGACACTCCCTTGGTCACACAGAGTAATTGATGGATGCTCCTCGGTATAGACTTGGGAGCAGACACTGCTGAGGTCACAGGCTGTGGTGAGGGTGGTTCAAGGGTCATATACATGGGTATTTGGACACTCATGGGCTCACACACAATGGGGAGTCAACAGTCATGGGGTCCCTCACATGGGGAGTTGAACACTCATGATCACATGGACTGGGATGTGGACATGCTGGTGTAACACAACTTGGGGAGTGGGCACACACTGGGATGAGGGTCTCCCTGGCATCACACACAGTAGTGTGCACAGTCCTGGTGTCACAGAATGGGGAGAGGATGCTCCTGGGGTCACACAGATTGGGGAAAGGATGATGCTGAAGGTGTGCGTTTGGAGACCACTGATTAAGAAGGGAAAGTTCAAATACCACCGGTTCAAGTAATTAAACAGGGAGGCCATTAGGTTGAGGTGGCTCTGATGCCTTGGTAGCCTACGTGAGCCAGAGTCAAAGCACCTGTATCTGAGAAATCAAAATTTAAGAAGAACCAGTCACAAACAACCAACTGGGTTTTCCCAAATAAGCACCCTCTTCCGCTCTAAACCAATCAAATAAGCTCGCTTTGCTTCTCCATCTGCCCTATAAAAGCCTTGCCCCAGCTCATGGTGTGGAGGGCTTCTAAACCACTTCCCAGAGCTGCCCAATTCCAGCGTTTGCTTAAATAAACTCCTGAAACATACACATGTGCCTCAGTTTATCTTTTAACACACCTGAGCCATGCACATGACAGGCTCTAGAATATGCGCTTCACTTTTAATCACCATGTAGGACCCACAGACTGCCTCTTTTTGTCACTGTCGGGTATGCCCGAGGAAGGGAACCGTCTATAATCTGTTGCTTGGAAGGTCTGCAGTGCCTGAGACCTGGGGCTTCTCACTTATTTTCAGAATTGGTCTTACTGTTTCTTTATCTGTGAAATGGGAATTGCTTGTTTCCCACCTCCTTTTTCAAGACATTTTGAGGATGAAGTGAGGGTCTCAAGTTAAAACTGCTTTGTAAAATAAAGCACCAGGCCTGAGACTTTTAAAATTCAAAGCAGTGAGCTGGCTGCTTCAGTGGCGTGGGGCAAGGAGCTGGGAGAGTGGACACCAAGTTTGTAATCATGGATCTAACTGACCTTGAATGAGTCGCTTGCACTAGCCTCAGATTCCTGGGGATAACTACCCATCTGACAGGGCGTCGCAGTGACAGCTGGCTGTCCCCAAAAGTCATGCTTTGTCTGCCCTAATGTTGAGCTGTTGCAAAGCAGCTGCCCAGCCAGAAATTACATCTTCCACCCTCCCTTGCACCTGGGTGGAGCCATATGACCAGTCCTGCCCAATGGGCTTGAGCTAAAACCATGTGAGTCCTTAAGAAACAGTGATGTTCCCTCCATTTGCCCTTTGTCCATCCTTTGGAGGTCTCGAGCCCCAGCAGAGGGGAAAGCCACAGTGTACAAGGAGCCTGGGGTCCTCAGCCAGCACATGGAAGTCCACCTATCAAACAGAAACACCCACATTATTCTGTGATGAGAGCAAGAAACAAACTTTTATTATTGTGTGAAACCACTGACATTGTGGGGTTGATTTGTTACTGCAAAAGAGTTAACTTCTGACTGCACATACAGTGTTGTGTGGATCGAATCCTCTGTGGAAATGGACTTTGCCAGCTGAGGAGCCCACGGACAGGGGAGCCTTCTTCCGGGAGGGTCTCCTGGCTTCAAGGAGCTGCTAGTCCTTCCTTTACAGCAGGCAGAGCTCTGGCCAGGGTGAGGGGCTGGGAGGGCATTGGCACCACCCTAGCTGGACACTGGCTCCACTGAGGGGGTGGGGGAACCCTGGACATGGGACTCTGTTCTTCAGAGACCCAGAGGTGAATGAGGGGCTGGTGATCTGTAGCTTGGCTCAGCTTTAATAATAGGCTTCAGAACTACTATATATAACGTAGATAAACAGCAAGGTCCTACTGGATAGCACAGGGAACTATATTCAATACCTTATAACCGCCTATAATGAAAAAGGATATGAAAATGAATATATATATATATATATATATATATATATATATATATATGTAACTGAATCACTATGCTGTATACCAGAAATTAACACAACATTGTTAGTCAACTATACTTCAATAAAAATATTTTAAAATGACCAAAAAAAAATGGGCTTCAGGGTATTTCTAGAGTTGGCAGAATTCAGTCACAGCTTTCCATAGATAAATTAAAGATAGCTTTGATTTCACTAAATGACTCCAACAGCAGATTTCTTTTTCTCCTTAGAGTGAAGGCAGTTTCTGTTGAGTCGCCGAGACCCACTATGCTCCCTCCCCATCCACTGCTGGCCCCAGTGCTCCTCCTAGGACAAAGCCCCAGAAGAGCTTGTGGGGCAGCAGCCAGGGTTTCCCAGACTATGCCACCTTCAGGGCCATTTGATGCTCCTATGACCCCAGGCCCACACAATATGCTGGGACAGTGCTTCCTTACAAAGTGTTATTTCTACCCTAAAGAAAACTCCTGCCTTTCCACCAGATCCAGGGTTTGTGAGAACTTGAGGGAAGGCATTTAAACCACATAGGCTCTGTAACTCAGTTTCCCTGTCCATAAAATGAACATGCTAGAACCTGGCCTGGTCATCTCAGAGGGTAGTTAAGAGATTATGTGAAAAGGTTCTTTCTCAGTAAGGCATTCTTCCTGCAAGTAACAGAAAGCCCTATTAGAGTGCCTTCAAGTAAGGAGTTTATTTCCTCCCATTACCAGAAAATTTGTGATTGGCAGTCTCAAGCTCAATGATATTGTAAACAGGGTTGAATTTTCACTCCCCCTCTTCGCTTCTTTCATCTCAACCATCTTTAAGCATGCTGGCTTTTGTCTTCATGCTTATTGCCTTGTGGTCCCAAGATGGCTGCTGCACTTCCAGCCCTCACATCTGTATCCAATTCAGGAAAAAGGGATCAGAACAAAGGCTTTCTCTTAATGAAACATTCTCTTTTTATTTGAGAGGGACAGCCTTCACTATAGATTATCCTGTATTGAATAAGGGATAATTCCTCATTGACCAAAATGGAATCAAATGTCCCCCTCTCCAACTTATCCAAGGGAGGCAAAATTGCTATGATTCTGTTAGATCAGTCATAATCTATTCCCTTGGTCTTGTGGAGGAATTTAGCCTCCTTAAGGACAGGTAATCTCCATTACCATCTGAGAAGAGTTGGGATGGGATAGTGGAGAGGGAGAGAATGGGGGTGAGGACAATAGGGGAGGCAGTGGGAAGCATTTGCCATAGAACCACAGAATGGGAAGCAAGGTGAGTGAGGTTCTAGCCCTAGTTCTGCATTGGAATTGCTGTGTGGCTTGGGTTCTGTCTCTTACCCTCTTTGGGCCTTGGTTTCTCTTCTGTACTGAAGGGAATTGAGGTCAGAGGTTTCAAAGGCCACACTATATGTTGGTAGACCTGTGGCCTTGACCTGGACATGGGGGCTGGGCTGTGGAATTCACTACGTGGCAGTGAAGGCCCACTGCATCCTTCAGTGGGGAAGGTCCAGGGACTACTAGGCTCATGTCTCCTTCCAGCTGGCAGGGGCAAGGATCTCTCCTAGGATCAAGGCCATTTTGGTTGTTCTTGAAGATGTCACTCTGAGGGTGTACAAGGGTCTCCTGGGGCACAGCAGGGGCCCACACCTGGGTCCAATTTTCAGTTTCCAGTCTCAGCTCTGTTATATCACACTGGGTGAACTTGAACAGATCCCTGGCCCTCTCTGTGCCATAGTCTCTCCATTTGTTCAGTGAGGAGGTTAATGATGGTCTCTGCTGGACTTTACAGCCCTAAACTGCTGTTCAAGAAAGATGGAAGAGTCAATAAAAAACAACACAAAATAAAACGAGAAAAAAAAAGAAAGACAGTAAGAGAAAGGTGAGGTTTGCATGCCTAGGACCATGGGACGCCCTTAGAGGCAGGCAATGGGGGAGTCAGGAATTGCCAGGGAAATGTGGGGAGACCGCCTCCTGTAAGAGGGGAGCTGGAGCTGCCTTCAGTGCTAACACCCTACTGCAGCTGAAGCTTTGATGTGGATGCTGCACAGAGTCCTTGGGGAAAGGGCAGATCCTCTGGTGGTCCTTCCAGCCTCCCTCTGTCTGCAGTTTCACTGCCAACTGCAAGCAGGTCTCAGTCAAGGCTGTTCTGATCTTGTGGCCATTAGGGTTTTTCCCTACCCCTTCTCTCCAAGTAAAACCAGAACTTTTGTGGATGGCCTGTCTCCTTTCCTTCCTTTCTTCCCTTTTTATTATTCATTGGGCACCTACTTGGTGCCAGGTGCTGGGGATGTAACAGGACCATGGCAGACCTGTTCCTGTTCTCCTGGAGCACAGAATCTGCTGGGTGAGTCTGCAGTTAAACAAGCAATTAAACTTCCTCATCAGGAGTGTTCTAAAGGGGAGCACAGATGGGGACCAACCAGAGCCAAAGAGGGTGTCTTGGTTTCCTAGGGCTGTTGTAACAAAGTACCAAAAACATGGTGGCTTAAACATCAGAAATTTATTCACTCACAGCTCTGGAGGCCAGAAGTCCTCAATCAAGGTATCAGCAAGGCAGCACTCCCTCCAGAGGCTCTAGGGGAGAACCTAGTTGTTGCTTCTTCCAGCTTCCAGTGGCTGCCAGCATTCCTTGGCTTGTGGCCCCATCGCTCCTATCTCTGCCTCCATGGTCACATTGCCACCTCCTCTGTGGGTATCTTCACAGCTTCTCCTTTTCTGTCTATCTCAGATCTTCCTCAGTCTCCCTCTTAAAAGGACACTTGTGGTTATATTTAGGGCCTACCAGCTAATCCAGATAATCTCCCCATCTCCAGATCCTTCATTTAATCCCATCTGCAAGGTCCTTTTTTGCCATATAAGTGAAAATTCACAGGATCTAGTGATTAGGAGGTTGACATCTTTCGGAGAGCTATTATTTAGCCTGTGACAGTTGGGGATGCCAGAGGGGGAGTCCACAGGGAGGTGACATCTTGGTTGAAATCTGAAGGATAAGGAGTTAAGTTACCCAAGCAGAAGAAAGGGAGACAGAATGTGCCAGTGGCATGCGTAAAGCTCTTGGAGATGAGAACCAACAATAATAACACGGGGAAACCGAGCAGTTTAGGATAGCACATCATAGGGTGATGGGCGGGTTGCAGAGGCCCAGATTAGCCCAGCCAGGCAGAGGGAAGGTGAAGAAATAGCCTGACCATGTCTTGGTGCTTCACAGGCCACGTGGCTCCATGGTCGTGTGTAACGGACAGGCTGAGGGCTGGCCGGTGTCTGCAAGGCACAGTCCCTCATCACACCTGGGGACTTGGGCTGCCAGCCCCTTCTCACTCACTCACTCAGGAAGGCAGGCCTCTGGACTGGAGTTCTCCCACCAGCACAGGTCAGTGTGGACTGACAGTGGTGAAGAGCCTGGCTTCTAGAGTTGAGTGGCCTGGGCTGGGATCACAGCTCTGCCACTCACTGGCAGGATGATGATAAAAGAAATGTTCACATCTTGAGACAGATATAGGGAAGCCATTCTGGCTTATACATGAGTTAACTTGAATTTCATGCTAACTAAAATAGCCTGTTTGTGGCCAATCAAATATACACTGTACATCTGCTTTAACTAGGAAAGAAAAAGGCACATTGACCAGAAGTAAAGAATGTCCACGTTAAAAAATAAAGATTGGGGG